ATAAAATAATAATGTTGGTCATTTTAATTATTTTGACGAAAACTTTCTAATGATATATTTTGTTATAAAATATATAATTTTTATCATAATTTAATAAATTACATAACTTAATTAAAACATATAAAGAACTTATTAGGGGTAAATCAGTTATTTTACTTGTTCTGTTATGTTCACTTCTGTTTTACCAAACAATGAACAACTATCATGTTCTATTACGTCATATCTTGTCTGAACACCAAACATACCCTTATTTACGATATGAATGATTTTGTTTTGGTGGAACTCTTGTGGTTTTCTCGAAACACCAAGTTCATGTTATGCAAGGCAAGTAAGCTACCTCTAATGGATATAAGCAAGTCACCTTTGTACTTGGAGACATTATGGATAATTTATCCTTCCATATAGAATTGTGTGTAATAACACGTTTATTTTACAATACATAAATATGAAACTGTCAGTCATGAATTACTGTTTTTATGACTTGATATATATTCAAGATATTCAAACACTCGTATGATGTATCAGGATCTCATATCTTCGAAAGTTTAAAAGGTAAGGAGCATGTCGAAGATTCAGAAGGATAGTAACCGAAAGGGAGAGCCTAACATGTTTTATATCTAAGTTGTTTCTATTGTATCATAATGTTTTGACCTTATTGTAATCATATTTTACAAATAAAATTCGGTTTTCGTCCCTAATGTTTGTTTATTTTAGCATTTCTTGTCCTTCAACTTCATTTAGTCGGTTTTCATCCCTAACGTTTAACAACTTCCAACAAATTTCGTTTCCTTCGTCTAATGGAAGTTAAGATTTTCTGTTAAATAAGGGATATTTTGGTCAATTTATGTTATTCCTCTCTTTTAAATAAGGTATTGTAAGAGAGTAATCTTCTTGCTTCTTCCCCTCCATATTATAACTCGAAACAAGAAGTAAAGGAAAATAAAACAAATAAGCACATTTCATATCCAAATCGAGAGATCCAGTTTAAAAAATTAGAAGACATGATGGAGAGATTGAGAGATGGAAAAGCAAGCAGGGACAGCCAGAGAGTAACTGGAGAGAACGAGACTGCTGGAGAACGATAGTGATGGGAGAGAACGAGACCACCTGATAATGAGACTGACGAAAGAGAATGAGATCAATCGCCAGCGAACTAGGAATATGTTTGAGAGATCTAGTGAGAGAACAAAAGGATAGCTTGTTCGAGAGAATGACCCATAAGAGAGAGTGTGATCTGTCCCTTTTTGTTTAATTTGGGTGTGTTTCATGAAAGGGCAAGAATGTAATTCTTTTTAGTTGAATGCATATGACAACCTTCTATTGGATGAGCGAATAAGCCCCTTCCTCACCCATTAATCCACTTCCGAACATGTATGTATGCCTTATCGAATAAGTCATACATGTCATACAACCAGTTAAGCTGTTACCGAACAACCC